CCCCCCCCCCCCCCCCCCCCCCCCCCCCCCCCCCCCCCCCTTCCCCGCCCCTCCGCCCCGTCCGTTCTCCTACTTTTCGGGTGAAATTAGTAGTCGACAGCTTCTAAAGGTGAAATTCCTTTTCATGTTTGCCCTTACGGACTCGACGAATTCGAGGGCCCAAACAGCTCTTTGAGACTGTGACGTTACCCTCCAAAGAAGTTAGCCAAACAAATATTATACCAACTGCTTAATGGTTGATTCAAAACCTCGTAAAACACAAAGTCGAAACGGCCGAACCCACAGCTGCTCTCTGCTGCTAAACCAAGAAACCCTTGCCATTCGAGGTACAAAAATTGAACGGGAGTTTGATGTTATAGACTTAGGCGCGACAAAACGACGCTCAGCGACGAATAATAAAATTGAACCAACAAACCTTGTTGTGTTCGACTTTCTTGTGAGCCACGGGTTTATACTCCACGCCAGCAAACTTGGCAATATAGCGTTCAGCTGCACGCATTTCTTCTAAACGTCCCTGTAACATTGAGGGTAAGGGAGACAACTCAATCAGAAGAAATCGGAGCTTGATATCGCCTACCTAGTAAATATTGCAGAAGTAATGTCCTACTACTCACCAGTAGTGATGCTTATCTTAGTATCGAATGATATCATCTATTACCTTTCGTTATCCTCCATTAAATACAACTTAATTCAGGAAACTTAGGAACGTGAAGATTTCTTAGTCTATCGGTGTAGTTCTCAGACCTGTCGTTCACGCCTTTCAATCCTGCCTTCCCTGAGGTTCCCTTCGAACTCCGATGTACTAAGTCCACCCATGGTCACTTCGTAAAAGTATCTGATTGACTTTGCGCGAAGCGCTCAGCACGAAAACTTGCCCACCGAATTGATACACCCATGGCTTGTGCATATAGACGTACATCTTGAATATCTAAAGGTACGGTACACGATAAAAATGGTTACTGTTCTTCCCTTAGGAATGCTCAGTGGCCCCCTGGGTGATAGAGCCTATCACTCCCATAATCTCGACGGTCAGGGCATAGTGGTAGCCCTGTTGCTGACTTGGTTCGCTTTTCCGCCTCTCGATCGATGTCACGTTAGACGAGTGTCGAGACAATACATTGCTATTATTCGTTCTAGGACCCACACAAAAATAGCTGATCGCCGAGTGATGAGGCAATGTTTTTCTCCCATTATTTTTTCCTCCGTTATTCTTTTTGCTGCCGCGATCCCTTTTCAATTTCCTACCACAAAAGACTGAAAAAGGTGAGCTATTTTACTTGTACCTAGGGTTTTTTTGTTTACTTATGCTTATAAGTGAATGAATTTTTGCTTACCGTAGGCTGTTATTTGCACCAGTTGTTCTGTTATGATACAAATACAAATGAAGTAAACAAACCTTGTTGTTCAACCAAGTAGGACTTTCAGGGAAGATGAAGATCAGTATAAACAAAGCTGGTAGGGCAGTCAAAGCACATGCTATACTGGAAGCTCGCCATTCTGGGAACGCCATACATATCAACGTCATTATTAGTCGTGCAACTCCCTATAAATGACCACATGCAGTTTTTTTCAACTCGCTACAGTGAGGTCGAACTTAAGAACATTTTTATAGACGCGACTGGACTTTTTTACTTGGTGGGACACATATTCGGTTCCAGAGTGAAGAAAAAGGGCTTAGATGGAGCGTAGTAGGGTTCAGAGTTCGCTTTAAACGCCCCGCGTCGCCGAGGATGGGTGTGTCTAATTGCTTTATGGGGACGGTGCTTTGATATGAACGGTAATGGGAATGCAGGGATACTGTATTCACAAATCGCTCGCTCTCTGTAACAATGAAAATTCATAAGACGAAGCTAGTTTTTTCCCCCAAAATTTTCCCTTGTTCAATTCAAATGCTGTTGAATCATTAGTTGGTACTTGCGCTATATCTCAATGCAAATCCGACCAATAAACCAACAAACAAATAAGTAAAACCAATGCTTAGCACTGACCCAGTTGAAGAATGCTCTGAGAGCCATTCTTTGATGTGGTAGAAGCATTTCCATAATGAATGTACACACAACGACCAATGTTCCTCCAACAGAAAGTCCAACAAAGAATCGGATTGCCATAAGGATTTGCCAGGTTGGAGCCAGACCTGAAAAGGAAAATTTTAGGACACAATTCCCTATCTGTTCTAATTATCGCCACTGATTTTCTTCCAAAAAGGAACAACTGAATGAAAGCGAATTGAAATAGACGTACCAGTGATAAAATTCGTCAAAATACCCATAGACATCGTAAAAATAGCAACTGGCTTCCGGCCAAAAATATCAGAAAGTGCTCCAAAAGAGAATGTTCCTACAGAAAAATCCTATTACATTTGAATTGTGTTGTAGTTTACATTCCAACGAACACAATCAGTAAAGAAAAATTATTGGAAGACAGCCAAGTAAAAGACAGTAACCACTGACCACAAAGTACACCTGCAAATTGAACCTGTGAGAATAAAGACGCTAAATAAGCCGTTGTACCACAGATCCATCCATATCTGTAAATACAAAAATACACAATATGCAACCCTTCCCTTGCTATTTGTCTATTAATTTTTTTGAAATCCATTTCAATAATCGGTTTGGATCGATATAATCAGATTATCGATTTTTCTAGTCTGTAGAAGTGCTCAGGTTCGAATCGCCATATTAGGATTATCGACTTTCCTTGCCTGAAAAACTGCTCTCCACCACCCTAGGGTATTGATCCACCAAAAAATCAAAAGTCAGCGAATCTTTGTTTATTTTTATTGTATTTCTATATTCCCTGATCGCCCTCTAAACGATTGCATCTTCCCTCCCCTTCCTAATTTTTTTGGAGTTTTGCAAGGGGTTGTGGCCTATCAGTACTGAGCGGAATGAGAAAGATCACCTAGAAATCTTATAACCCTTTTTTTTGCATTCTCCAGTTGAAAACGGATTCTTTCCAACCGTCATGGATCTCTATTCGAAAGCACTTCGCGTCAAAATCCATGGGCTTCGGGACAAAAGGGTCACTCGAAATACTCCAAGAGCCCATCATATCAACGAATCGTTTTTTTTTTCTTGATTAAACAAAAACTTACTCCAAAGCAGCCGACTGAAACTGTGAATGAGGATAACTCAATGTTCCATTACAAGTGGTATATACGGTGCAGTTCTTCGACAGAGGCCCGTCATCTGAAAATGAAACACCGTCAGAAAATTGTGATAGGTATTCACCCGTCCTGTGTACGTATTACCCGAGGGTGCGGATGAGGGGAAAAAGAAAAGCCAGAAATAGCTCAACCCATCTTCTTACATGGTAATATTTTTAATCTGTCTTGGACACTTATGCAACATCACCATCAGTTCCTCATTACTGATAATGACCTCTTAAGAATTTTTTCCTCCTCTATCTGGTTACAGCGACCTGTCAAAATGTCAACAGTGTAGGTTTCACATTATCGCTAACCCTATAGTACCAGGCAAATACCGTCCAGTAGCTTTTAGCTAGCTGCCCCGTTGCGCGTCATGTCGGTGTTTTTAGAGTGAGAAAAAAGGCTTCAAAAAATCGCTGAAAAAGGGGCTGGACGAAAGACCAGAAAAACGAAGAAGAATGGGGCATTTTGACGAGATATACAATGTGTCTCGCTGCGTACGTGTGGTCCTGGTGCGAATATCAGACTATGGTAGGCAAAAATTCATTCACTTATAAGCACAAGTAAACAAAAAAACCCCCTAGTAACAGCAAAAATAGCCCACCTTTTTCAGTCTCTCAGGGTTGGAAATTAAATTAGGGATCGCAACAGCAAAAAGAATAACAGAGAACAAAAAAAAAATAGGAGGAAATCATCGCCTCATCACTCGACGATCAGCTGATTGTGGCGGGTCCTAGAGCGAGAATTTGCAATCTGTATCGTCTCGACATTCGTCTGACGTGACATCGATCGAGGGGCGGGAAAGTCCCGCGAGCCAGCAACAGGGAATTATCGTGAACTGTGCCTTTGAGCGAAGGTTGTGGATAGTATGTTGTGAGCTCTGCCCGTATGAGTGTCAACACTAGTTTGTAGTTATTTACGTTTTTATTTATCAATAAACACCTTGTTCAGAGAAAATCTACGGCAGCACTGGCAAGTGTAAAATCGGGCTAGCTGAATAAATATTGGTACGGAATATACGATAATGGACGATAACATTAATATCTGTAACTCACCACATTGCCATTCCGGTACATAATTGGAGAAAATCGGGAATATCTGTTGCGATGCAAAAAAGATTGCGAATTGCCACGTCAAAAGTACAAAAAAATGGAATCGATTGATGTCAAAAAACATTACCTAAAAATCATCCGAATTGTACGAGTAGCAAATGTACAAAACGACTTAATTCAGGAAACGGTAAATATGTATATTAGACAAACAAGAAAACAGGAAAAGGGAAAAATAAGACCGAAAAAGCCGAGAAATGGTCAAAAATTTTATAAAAGGGATATCCTCAATGAAAATATGAAAAATAAAAATTTAATTGTTTTGTCAAGGAATAAATTAAATTGAATCATGATTAGCTAAATTCATTCTTTTTGCAATTCTCGTAATTTCGTGCTGTGTAACAGAGCATCCATGCAATCTGACGTTTTCTATTCGAATCACTTTTATTTCCTTTTTTATTTATATCGCTTTCAAAGGGTTCTCTCACCTTCAAAGTGCCTGCGAAAGGGTCCAAAGCAAGTCTAGGCAACACTTTCCTGATAACACGCAGGGTAGGAATCTAGCTAGCCTTCAACTCTACCGATTTTTTTTCTGATATTTGATCTATTTGGAAAATTCTAGAAATAAGTTCAGGAGCCCTTTTCTGAGGAGAACTACCTTCTTTCTTCGAGTAATGAAACCGCGAAAATTCCAATTTTTATGAAATCACCCTATTCCCATTAAGCTCTACAAAGAGTTTTCATGTGTACAGATGCAGAGACGGACCAGAAACAGTAGATCGATATGATAAGCGTACTGATTGATTGAAAAACACAAAAATATTTTGATTTCAGACGAAAAATACAAAATAAACACGCACGAGTAGTGAAAACTGATGCCCAAGGGCTTACGAAGGAAAAATGCGAAGAGCGACCTTTCGGATCTAGCCCTACTCTCATTTGGAGCTACCCCTGTACGGGGATCAAGACCGGACTGCTCATGATTGTTGGGTACGATTGTCAACGGCACGTCTGACAACAGGGTGTACTGCCATACTATCTCGAGAGCAAACGTCAGAATCGATTCTGTCTATTGGCAGAGATGGTAAGAAAAACTCCGAAAATCGTACACAAAAACGGCTATTTCATCGTGTTCTCTTTAGTATTTGAACTACAAAGTACAAACTTTTCTGAATAGAATGGTTGCCCTTATCCGACCTATACTCTCCTTTCCCTGAAAGGGAGCCTCAATCGAAATGATGCTCTGAGCTGTGGTCGAGTTAAATAGACGGAAATTTCAACTGACTTCCAGCTTAGCGACTTTGACCTTTACCACGACCAAAGAGGATAATCCAGGATTTTCTCTAATGGGAGAGTATCACGTTTGGGATTATAGAAACACCCAACCTTTTGAATCGCGTAATGTTCTTTTGCAACGTTTGGATGCATCGAGGGGGCAGGCATCTACAAACGGGAAATCGACAGTACGACTATGCTACCGTACGATCCCCACAAGGCCTTTTCGAGCTCTGTGAGCAGTACAGAACATCGAGAAGAGCTAGGCGCACATGACTACTTGCATGACCATATAATAGAGTCGCAGATTCGATCCTACCTACGCTACCTGAGTGAGACTCCCATATTTTGAGCCACAGCAGTTGGGACCGAACCCAACTTGGCGAGTGAAAAGCTTCAATGGGGGCCATGAAATTATCACAAAAACCAAGTACAGCACAAGAACGTCACCATAGATTTTAACGAAGTCGACAAAATTCCAAGGCATGGCGCAACCGGAAAAAATCTATTGGCAGCATCGAAACTAATTATTCATAATAATAAGCCGAACTAAAGGTAAAAAGGAACGGCAGATATTGAACAATAATGACCGAGAACAATAAATATGATACCATTGATGCGTGAATTTTGTGAAATGTTTGGGTGAAAGGCCAAAAAGACGAGTTTAGGCACAGACGGAAAACATACCTTCAAACGGCCACTAGATAATGCAAGGAGACACTTCTCCACATGAAAAAGACTTGATCGAAAATGCGAAGTACCGCACCCTGTCCACGTCAAAGTGATAGTTCATTTTGGAACCATCCTGATCACAAGAAGGGTAATGCTATGCAATCATTTCGACTAGGTACTTGAAGACATCAACTTATCAGAGGTAGGAGAATTGCTGCTTCCCTCAGCGAATTGCGTTGTTCTCCATACAACCCATAGGCTTCGTAATAGATTGTTGCCTATGCTCAATATGAAGAACAAACTCTTTGGCTTCAATAAATCTCTTTTTTGGGGATGCGCCAACACATTAGACTTCCATTCAAAATCGCAGTGGCTCTTTGAATGAGTATGTAGCCTACACAATGACTTGCGGTGGCCAACTGATATACACTTTGATACTTCTGTCAGGAGGGATGGATGATTCGGTAGGCCTGGGCGAGAGCTAATCCTGCATCCGATCACCGGATCATGCGTATTCCGCCCATACATGGGGCTTGCTAAACATAGCGTAGTAAAAGGGAGGTACCTCGAAATCAGGTAGTATTGTCAAATTTGGGTTAGGTGCCTACCAAGGATCGGGAAGCCATTTCGGCCATCGCCTGAGTAACTCAAGCCTTCCAATTCTTCGGGATCAATTGAATTGAACTCGTAGTGGAGCCGTCTTGAGGACCCAACAATACTTTCTTGCAGGCGAGTGTCCCCTCAAGGGACTAAATACGTCAAATACACATACAAGCGCCGGCAATTCCGGATGGAAGTTGGATCAGAAGCCTATGCTTAAAATCAATTGTTTCAGGTTCGAGAAACCCGAAATCTGTTTCTCCAGTCTTACTTGATTACTGTCTGAGAATTTTTTTTTTTGCCAAATGGCTAGCCAGGTTTTTTACAAAATTATGAAAGATAGAGAGGGATTTTCTGATCGAATTTCCGACTCGCCTCGAGCCCATAAAAATATGAGCCATCTTAGAAGGACCGTAAAGAGCCAGGAATACAAGGAGCAATGCGGAGTCATTCCCACCTCGGAAAACCCACCATCCTGCTCCATGATATTTTGCTTGCGCTCGGCACGTATTCGAAAACTTCTGCTATTTCAATGGGAATTCGATGGCATGGCGTAGACGTCTAGCCTCTAAAAACCTTGTAGACACAACATTCAACAAAACATTGTTCAATAAAAACCCCCATTGATACGACGTCGTCTCGAAACGGAAGAGAGCGGAGAAGATGATGACCCTTTCGAATAGGAATCGTCGCATTTACGGGGTTCTAAAGGCCATGTGTAAGATCATAAAAATGCAACTACTCCAACCCGATGAAATGGCAGTTCTTTGAAAGGGCGTTAAATCATGAAAGGCTAGGCTGCTTGTTCTGGCTAGTACCGGTGCAAGAAGTAGAAGGGAAAAAGGGTTCGAGAATGTGAAACAATAAAAAGTGGGTAGCTGAAAAGGTGACCTTAAAGAAAACCTAGAAAAGGGTTTACACAAGTAACTTCTTCTTCTTGGAAAGCACCACAAGTAACTTCTTCATGGAAAGCACAGCCTAGTAGTATAGGATTGAATGACGCCCCCAATCTCCCAGTACACAATATGCAAAACCGATCGATATACATCTAATGCGAGTAGCGAATTCCGTAATTTTTTAGCTTCACAATTATTTAGCTCTCAGTAATACCCTTTGACCGTCGACACGATTGTAAACGGGAAAACATGGCTTTGTTTCAAATCAGAAGCATTTCCGGTTGCTCAGTACAAGCAGAATGAATGTCAGTGAATGTGGTCATCGATTGATATCACAGGTGGATAAACAGGTTTGAATAAATATCAGTTTTGGGGTGTCAAAACGGTAAACAACAAAAGTTGATCAAAGGCGCTCTTATCATTAGAACGGATTGATAAAGATTGGCGAAGTTCTGTGCAGCAAGATGTTCGAAAGTTATAATTGTGGGGAGGACAAAGGAGCTTCTAGCAGACCACGGGACCATTCTGGATACGTCACACACCCTTTCTTGTTCTTCTATTTTGTAAGGGCTGAACTGTTCAAAGAAGAAAGAGATCGGAAAAAACATGAAGAGAGTAGGTTTGGAGGAGAACTTTTCCCATAAAGCAAATGATGAGTTATTCTATGGAATTGCGCCGTGCACTCACAATAGGTTCAAAATTACTCATTGTCAGAAGTGAATTCTTCAGCAAGTTTAAGAAGTACTAGCAAAATTGTTCAGAACGAATGGAGGATACTTCACCGTGACCAGATTCGGAGACTATGGGAGTACGCCGTGCACTCCACTCCAGCCTAGAGAGAAGAGGCGAAGTTGAAAGAATATTGGATCCTTAAAAAAGTGAAATAAAATCTTTACAGAAGTAAAATCGAAAATCCTAAGAGAAAATTAAGGGTAGGTGATAGCAAAATGCAGATGCAAGTTTACTCCTCTCCTAGCCTCTTTCAACAAGAAAGCCTGATTAGAATGAAAAGGCATGCCTCAGTTCAAGAAGTACTATTTCTATTGCATAGGTGAAGAATCGGATCCTACGCAAGCCCGCCTTCCAGTAACCTTCGAAACCCTGAAGTTCCGCAAAGTCCCATAGGATTCCGGTCGAAGAAAAGGAATTACGGCTTGAACTCGGTCGACATGGGCAAGTCACTTTCTGGCCAAATACGTTCTGAGACAGCTCCAAGACTCCATTTTGCGTATTCGGTGGAATTTTTTTGAAAAATTTTTTTGGCAACTCCAGATGTCGTTAGGGTCAGAAATTATGAGGTCCTTCTAATGACAATCTCATGAAGAAAAAATTTTAAACAAAGAAATAGGTCCAATCAAAGCAAATACAACAGGAGCATGGAATACGAAGAAGAAAATTCGTAGTGATAGTGAGACTGATTTCTTAAGAGGATCAGCAGGGTTCTTCACTAGAGTTGTCATTGGCCTTGATGACCTTAGAATCACAGGCGACGACGTGAAGCTAATTTCATAGTGACAAAAAGGGCACTTTCACGATTAGAAATGGAGTCGTTTCTAACTGATAACGGCATTGCTTCCCTGTTGCCCACACCTTTTGAACAAACCGCCGGCCGCCGACGTCAGGTCGTCAACGTCGCCGACGGCCGCTGGCTCAGTGATAGCGGCACTAGCTAGCAGCTGTTCTTAATAAACATAATCTATTGTTTTTCCATAAATTTGCAATTGTTTGAAAAGCCACATTTTACTACGATAATTAGGCCTCACTGAAAGAAACTTAAGCACCATGGTGTTCTAGGCCATTTTAACGGACCAACTCTTCCTCCATCTCTTTGAGGAGCCTCGTTTAAGCATGTGAGAATGTCAAAACAGCAAAGAACCCGCACTGGAGGATAGCTTGGGAAGTTTTGAAAATCAGCTGCATGTAGGTATGACTTCCTCCAACTTCCTCGTTCACGCTTTTCGGGGAATTAATTGGATAGGGTATGAAAGGGTTAATTTTGGAGTGAAGTTCGAGAGAATTGTACCCAGAAGAGCATTCTCCGAAACTCACTGCCTACCCTGGATGGTCTATTTTTCACACAAACGTACCTCATCTCGTGGCACCCTCAATGAGGGACTCACTCCTAAACCAAGCCTTTCTAATCGTAGAATTGTTATGGAGCAGTAATTATTAACTTTTATATCTTCCAACTGTCAAATATCTTTCTGACTGTGCCTCTCTATCAACGACCCCACCCCGAAACCCACCCTTCGTCGGCTTATCAGAACAATAAAACCTTTCACACCTAGAACAATAAATTCAAAAACGATGACTACGATTTTGTTGGGATGCTAAGAAAAGAAAAGGAAAGGAAGAAAAGAAAAGAAAATGAAGGAAAAGAAAAGGAAGTAGGATAAGGACAGAGGTGCTGTCTTGTGTCGGACAGTGCTTAGGACTTGGAATTCTGGACGAAGCCGGCGCAGTGGCATGCAAGGTTGTTGTTAGAATCGCGTTCAGAGGATCAAAACCGAAATAAACTACGCTTCTGTTCCATAATAATGAGCCGAAAATACGAAAAACACAAATCTTCATATTGAATTTTGTGTTTTCATATGTTCATTTGTTTTCGGTTATTAAATGATCTGAACAGGACCCTATATCAGAGCCAAACAAAGTATCAGTCGATAAGGTTTTGAAATATCACCCCCGGAGCATGTTTTACCCAAAAATGCGGCCCATTACTTTCCCTGTCCCATGATTTGAGGACCATGATTGGGTCATGAATGCTATCATCGCTACCCTCTCCATTTTTCAAGACCATGCTCCCACTCATGGAGACCGTGATAAACGCTGGAGTATGCGTCAAACTAGTCAAATCAAAATCGGCAATTTCGACGAAGTTAGAAAGCCGATTAAATAGATCATTCAGTGGTAATCCTCTGAATGAAACGATCTATAAATCAGCTTGTTTTAGAGCACGATAGTCGCGAGTTATTACGGATGAATTGTCAAAAGGATAAA